TATTTTTTTCCGTAAGAACCTTGTACAGAGTATTAGAAAACTACAAAAAAATACAGCCAAATCGGTCAAGCCGTTTTCATGTTATGTCGTGACAACGGAAAACGGGTTTCATTTTTATATATATAGATATAAAAACAGTCTCTGTTCTAAATTCAAAACTCGTAACTTTTCCCGACGTTTGTTGTACGTGTTTCCCGCGCTAGGACCGCGAGTGGCCGCGCATGCGTACGGTGCGGCGGGCGACGCGGTAATGGCAGCGCGGCACATGAAGTTGGTCGCTAAAGCGACCAACTTCATGGTGTTAATTTTTTGTGTTACAGATGCGCGCGCATCTTAAAATTTCACCCTCATAATTTTTTTATAACGCGCCTAAAGAAGTATAACTTCAAAAATGCCCCGGGCACGTATTTCAATTAAATCGTTTTAACAGCCTAATATGACAAAGGTAGTTTAATAAGATATTTTTGAAACATTACGTTTGACGTCCGGTTTGGACAACGGTGACGCGACCAAATAAATTAGCGTAAAGAGAAGGGTCTTGAAGGACATACACTTTTCTTATCTCATCATCATCATCAGCCTATTAATGTCCCCACTGTTGGTGCACAGGCCTTCCCTATGGATGGAATAGGGAGATTGGGCCATGACCCACCACGCGGGCCCAGTGCGGATTGGTGGGTGCTAACGACTGCAAATGCAGCCGGGACCAACGGCTTAACGTGCCTTCCGAAGCACGGAGGAGCTCTAGATAGTAAATTTTTGGTCACCCATCCAATGACCGACCACTGTGAAAGTTGCTTAACTTCAACGGTCGCAGCCGAACGCGCTAGCCACCTGCGCCATCGAGCTCCTCCTTTCCTTATCTATTTCGGTCTATTTCTGTGGTTCAATTTTTTTGTTTAAAGAAGAAAACCTTGAGTTTATAAGTTACATGAGCTTTTTTGCAACCTAAATCTAAATACTTACACACATCCAAAATGTCTTAGCAACACGCAACATTTACACAAACTGTATGTTTTATTAATTGATATGTACTTTTTTCTTAGCAAAGTAGATTGGTATATAATATTTCTTGTTCTCGGAACATATTTGGCTCATTTAACAATAGAAAATTTTCGATGTGTCTATTTATTTTATTTATTTATTTATACTTTATTGCAAAACAAACAGTAATTGGCGGACATAATGCCAAAAGGCATTCTCTATCAGTCGACCAGTAAAAGCGTGAGAAATAAAAATACGAGGGTGCAATATGGACATATGCTAAATAAACCAGGTAGGTAATATATATATCAATAGAATACACAAATATACAATACATACATGTAAATATATATGCTATATCTACACTACATACATAAACATACACATAATTATGCCAGTCAAATATGAGAACGCAGATTAATTATATTAAGATAATGTTTATAATAGTTTGGTGGAAATATAATTACAAGAGTAAAAATCGTTCAGAAGGTAAACCGTACAAATGATTTAAGACGTGTATGTTTTTGAAAATGTATGTATTTTTTCCATTCCAGCACCGCTCCCAGATAGCAGTTACACTATTACCATCTTCTTAATCGGTATCAAATGAAAGTAGAAAATAATAATACGTTCAAAAAATGATTATTTTTTTGTATGATTCCATTTTGCATTTAATTATTCAATTTAATTTATTTGAAAGAAAGCTAAATATATTTTATTATTAGGAAAAGTAATCAGGAAAGGTATTTAGACTTTTGTTTAATAAGTTTTTTTCCCTCTTTAATATACTTATTATTTTCAGATACCGACAGTTACCACTTCATTGTTTTTTTTACGCAGGCAAAAAATCTTTTTACAGATGCCACGGCGCCTTTAAGAGGCACACCGCCGAACGGACCTCACACCTGGCTCCCGCAAGCCTTACGAAGTCCCACAGTGGCTGCCCACTAAGGACCCCGTAACTCTTACGGGCGCTTTACGGTATAATATCCGCTAAAAAATCCTGCGAATACCTTCAACGCTGCTCCATGCGAAGCCGCGGGGTCCCCGTTAGGGATTCTTCCGCGACTCCGCACCCAGTCTCCCGGGTATTGCGGGGACCCCGCAGACGTGCCCAGGATGGGGGGCGCGTGGGGGCTGAGTACGCGGCCTAGTGCCCACCGTCCCGCCCCCCGTCCGCTGCGGAGGGCCACTCGGGGATACCCGTATGGCTACCTCAGCCCGCCTTTACAGGACAAAACTGCAATAGGGACGGCCGCCGTTCCTGGGGGAGTGAGTGGGAGGGGAGCGTTCTCCCCGTCCCTCCCCTCTCGCCGTCAATGCAGGGGCAGGCACCCCCTCTCCCGGTCGCCCACGTCTCCTCGCCCCTTCTCCTAGGAGAAGAAGGGGTAACGTGGGCGATATACCGACTACTACCTGAATATATTTACCAAACTTAATATTTTTATAAATATCTTTCTAGAAAACTATTACTGTATATTTTCCGAGAACACATCCTCCTACAGGAAATCGGGGGGCACGGCAGTGCCCCCGCCAAGTCGAGCGCGAAACACTGCCGTACCATCCTTTACTGGAACCTTTACGCCGTATTTTCAGGCCCCTATTTGAGAACCTCTGGATAATACCAGAACGCTGAAATTTTCGTCATCCAGTAAGCTATAATAACATACTTAAAATCCAAAATTTCAAGTGTGTAGGTCATTTACTTTCGAAGTTAAGCGAAAGCAAAGTTTCGCATTTACGACACTCACTCACTCATGATCATCAGAATAGAACTAGTACTTCCCATAAACTCAGAGAGCTGAAATTTGGTACAGAGTTAGTATGTAGTACCTGGTTTTGTACCCTTGTGTACCTTCAACGGCCAAGTCACACAACATTAACTATAATAATAAAGAAATCACAGTAAGGAACATTAGACTTGGCACAACTTTGTCTAGATTTCATTATTTTTTAGAGATAAACAAGCAGCTCCATCGAGACTTGGCTAGTTTTTTACAAAATGTTTTTGGTGGGATTATTATTTACATGTTGTGGGTATCTTTTGTGAAGTCCTCTCAATCGAAAAAACTCACCTGAGTTTATGAGGTTTCAATATCCATTTCAATGATTCCGATTTCCATGATACGAGCACTTGAGTTAAGTACCTACTTGCTATATGATCTGATAAATATTTATGTATCTGGTATTTATTATGAAAGAAAAACTGGAAGCGATCGCTGTGAGTGTATTTAAACTAGCAAGCCAGTTATCTTACTGTTAAAATATACAACATAAGAGCCGATGGGTTTTATGCTTTTCCGTGACTTTTCTGAGCATGCAAAGTACCAGTAAAAATATTTGCAAATATCATAAAATAATATAACAATAATCTCATAAATGGAATAGTTTTACCCGTTTTTGCAACATTTTTCATTATATTCAGCGGAATATTACCAGGCTACGACCAGTAGCAGCGGCTACTGGTCGTAGCCTGGTAATATATAGCCTTCCTAGATTAATGTACTGTCCAATACAAAAAGATTTTTTCAAATCAGAATAGCAGAACAATTTATTTTGCATTCGGTACAACGGGTCCTAAACTACGCAACGAAATTTTTACTTGGAATGGAAGGTTTATAATTATTATGAAGAAAGTCATTGTATATAATACAAGCATTTGAACAAAAACTATAGTCTACAGTACAGCTATACACCGAAGCAAAGCGAGGGCGGCACACAGATTAACTATACACTCTAGTGAAACAATCTATTAAGGTAAAAACCGCATGCATTAAAAAAACGCTAAAAAAAGTCATTAAGTTCAACACAATATTATTTTTATTATCATTTATTTCCTAAGTTATGACGTTGTTCTTTTTAATTATAAATTACAAAACAGTTTTCATATAAATATGAAGCTTAATTAGTTTGATGCCATGTTTGGGACGATATTATTTTGAGATTATATTATTTTGTAAGAAAAAATATTAATTTGTTTCTTAAAAACAGTGATGTTCACACACTTAATACAAGAAACAAAAATAAACTAACTTTACCTGCTACTAGGCTTCACAAAATCAATAATTCATTTAAAGGTCTTTGTGTTCGCTTATACAATAAAGTCCCAAGCAAGATCCAAGAGTTAAGCATAAATAAATTCAAAGATAGTATAAAAAAGCACTTATTAAAAAAGCTTATTACAAAGTGTCTGATTATAGTATGTGTCTGATATAGTAGTCCAGTCGTGTTGTGGCAACCCAGTCACTGTTAATAATCAGTACGTAGTTCTTTTTCTAAAATTGTTAAATATTTCATTTTTTCGAGTAAACTTATTACTGTGGTGTAGTTTATCTCTCAGTGGAGCTACACAGTTGTTATCCAAGGAAAATTACCGCGGTTAAGAAAGATTTTAATCAAGATAAGTTGCAATTTTACTACCCGCAAATAATATTTATTACATGTAATGGTGTTAAATACCCTCGCACAGTGGATAACTTATTGTCAATTTCAATTGACAGCTCACAATTTTCATTTTGACAACTTCATTGAAGTTGTCAAAATCAATTGACATCTGCAGTCAAGAGTAAAGTATTGCCATATAAGAAGACTTTACACGAATTCCGCCGAATCTGCAATATCAATGTGGCATGCGTCCACACTGCAACCTTCATTGTGATGGATAGCTGTTGTTCGTGAGTAATCATCTAGTGCATTGTGTACTAAATACCTATTAATGCTTGCTTTGACATTTTGCTTTTGAGCTTCTTACCTTTTTAGCTTCGCAAATCAATTCCAGTCTACCTTATTATACATTTTTATTTATAAACGCACCATACAGTCATAAGATGGCGCCTAGCTTTGGCAAATGCGCTGGTTGCTTGAACACCATACAAACTAGAGAATACTTAGAATGCATGAACTGTAAGAAAAAGTATGACCTTGAGTGTGCTGGAGTGAATTCACAACGCTTTAATAGTTTTTACGCCAATCAAGAGAGAAAACGAAACTGGAAGTGTTCCGAGTGTAACAGCAAAATGCCTAAGACTGGAAATTTGAACACACCCATTCAGGCACAGACTCGACTAGAAACTCAGATAAGTTCAGATATCGATACGACACCTACATCGGAAACAAAGAATGTTACGGTTAGACAAAAACGACATGCATCAGGTACAGTATCTGAAGCTACTGAAGTATTGCACACTGACAATTACTTGACTGAGGAAAAGCTACGTGACATTTTAGCAGACACTATTGCGACTAAGGTAACAGCTCAATTAAAGTCTCTCGAAGAACAATTTAATGGAATGCGCGACGCCGTGACTTTCTTCAATCAAAAGTACGAGGAAATGAAAACAATGCTTGAAGAAAAAAGTAAAGTTGTTCATGCTCTCGAGTGCGACAATGTGAAGCTGAAATCTACTGTCACGGATCTTTCGATTAGATTAAATTTACTAGAACAAAATATGAGAGAAAGCAATATCGAAATTAATGGAATCCCGGAACACAAGGCAGAAAATCTTACAAACACATTTTCGCAGATCACTAAAGTTGTAGACGCTGACATTACTGATGATGATATAATGTTAGTGACTAGGGTTGCAAAGATGAATAGAAATGACGATAGGCCTCGCACTGTAATTGTCAAACTGCGGACACCGCGTCATCGCGATACAGTACTTGCTGCTGTAACAAAATTCAATAAGAGTAACCCTAATGACAAACTAAACTCGCGTCAGCTGGGTTTTGGCGGCAAAAGTATTCCCGTCTATATTAGTGAACACCTTTCGCCAGTAAACAAAGCTTTACATGCTGCTACTCGTTTACGAGCTAAAGAGTTTGGATACAAATTTACATGGGTACGTAATGGCCGAATATTTGTCAGAAAAGATGAAGAAAGTGAATGTAAACTTATTCAAAGTCGAGAGAACCTTAATAAGATAATTAGTCAGATATGATAATTTGCATTGAATGCTTTGGTGTATTGTTTTCAAAATTCAATGTTTACTATCAGAATGTCCGTGGCCTTCGCACAAAGGTCCGCGATGTTTATGATAATATTCTTCTCTCAGACTATAAAATTGTAGTGTTTACAGAAACATGGCTAAATAATAGTATTTCCAGTAGTGAACTTTTTGACTCACGCTACATAGTATATCGTAGAGACAGAGTGTGCTCGTCTAACACTAAACAGGATGGAGGTGGGGTACTTATTGCTGTTTCGCGTGAGTTTCAGTCTTTGCGCATCCAAAACTGGGAATCTAGCTGTGAGGACATATGGGTCAAAGTAACAACCGAAATCAACGGTCAGAGGAAAACACTATCTATTTGCGCAGTGTACTTGCCGCCTCCAACCAGCTTGGAGAGGCAACAAATATTTCTTGACAGTGTTGATGATGTGGTGTGCCATTCGGATTTTGTTGTTATAATGGGTGATTTTAACCTCGGCCACATACATTGGAAATCTCACAGTGACAAAAGTTATTTAACGCCAACCAATTATGAAAGTAGTTTAGGATATTCTCTAGTCGACTTTATGTCTTTAAATGGATTGTACCAATGTAACAACATTTGTAATAAGTCAGACAAAATATTGGAATTGGTCTTAAGCAACATAGAAATTGCATGTGTATCTAAGCCTTCAGATCTGTTAAGTAGACTGGATAATCACCACACTTGTATTGAAGTTACTATTCCACTCTCCGTTAATAATGATCATGGACTTATGCCTAACAGAAAGGAAAGTTTTAATTTTTATAAAGCAGATTATGACTCAATTAAAAAAGAGCTATCTGCTCTTGATTGGAGCGAAACCTTCAGGGGTCTGGAGGATGTGAATCGAGCAGTTTCAACTTTTTATACTATTTTATATACAATTATAGAAAAACATGTTCCGAAACGCAGATTTATTAACAGCAAATATCCTGGTTGGTTCAGTAAATCATTAATCAAGCTTTTGAATGAATAAAATAAAATTAGAAAGAGACTTCGAAAATTTCATAATCCAAGAGACAAAATTGAATTTGACTTACTTCGTGAACGATGTCATAAACCTAGTAATAAATGTAAAAGTAAATATAACCTTAATATTGAAACTAATATTCGTAAAAATCCCAGGTATTTTTGGCGTTATATCAAGGATAAACGGAATGGTCAGTCATCTATTCCAACAAGTATGACTAATGATAGCGTTATAGCATCGACGGGTGACGACATTGTCAATATGTTTGCTGAACAATTTTCTTCAGTTTATAATGTCACTGATATGATCCCTTCAACATTGAACCAGATGAGCAGTAATTTCTTATCCACACTTAAATTCACCGAAAATGATGTTTTGAAGGCTATTAAGAGTCTCAACATACATAAAGGTCCAGGTCCAGACAATATCCCGCCTTTGTTTGTGAAACGTTGCGGACGCTTTCTGGTTCTCCCATTGATGACATTATTTAACTGTTCATTGAGCAAAGGAGTTTTTCCAGACGAATGGAAAAGAGCCAGAATCGTACCTATTCACAAAAAAGGTGATGAAACGTTTGTGAAAAATTATAGACCTGTTTCAATTTTGTCTTCTTTTGCAAAGATGTTGGAAGCACTAGTTTACCCACATTTAAGCAATCTGATTGAAAGCAGCATATCGATATATCAACACGGCTTTAGAAGGGGTCGTTCTGTAGACACAAACCTAGCCTCAATGATTTCTAACGTTTCGTCAAGTGTAGATTCGGGGCGACAAGTTGACGTGGTGTATACTGATTTTAGCAGCGCATTCGACAAAGTAAGTCATGCTATTCTCTTGTCAAAATTGGAAAACTATGGAGTTTGGGGGTCATTGTTATTATGGTTTGCTTCTTAACTGGCTAAAAGACCTCAGGTGGTTTCTGTGGCAGGTTATGACTCTAAAATGTATTATGCTCAATCTGGTGTACCGCAGGGCTCCCATTTAGGCCCAATTCTATTTTTAATTTTTATTAACGACATTACTTCGTGCATTGAACATAGTAATATATCCATTTTTGCTGATGACCTAAAACTTTACAAGACAATTAATAATTCTACTGATATTGGTCTATTGCAAGCAGATGTTAACAATTTAAAGCTTTGGTGTACAAATAACGGTATGACTGTAAATCCAGATAAATGTTTTCATATATGTTTCACGAGAAAAAATAATATTATTGGCTCTGCGTACTCTATCGATGGGACTATATTGAGAAAGGTAGATCAGGTACGCGATCTTGGCGTAATATTGGATAGTAGGTTAAAATTTAAATCTCATATTGATGGAATTGTTAAAAAATCTGCCCAAATGCTAGGCTTTCTGAAACGCAATTCGCAGGGTTTTCAACGACATGAAACCAGGATAATCCTTTATAACAGTCTTGTTCGTACTGTGCTCGAGTTTGCATCTATTGCATGGAACCCGGTGTATGCTAATGCATCACAGAGAATTGAAAGCATTCAACGTGCCTTCACAAGACATCTGGCATATAAAGCATCCGGTATACATCACCGGGTTCCTTACAATATGCGACTGGCTTTCTTTGGTATGACATCACTGAGGAATCGTCGAACAATAATAGATTTGCTATTTCTACATAAAATTATAAATAATAAAATTTCGTGTCCTGATCTGCTTAACTCAATAAACGTCACTGTACCCCGTAGATGCCCAAGAAAGCCACTTACGAAGACTTTTACTTTGCCTTTACACAGAACTAACCTGGGTCTTCATCACCCTCTGGCCAGAATCTGCAATACCTATAACGATATTAACACAAGATCACCCAACTTGGACATTTTTGACGTTTCGCAGAAAAACTTTAAAGGAACATTGTTTGAGCTGCTCGATTCTCATTAGTTCTCATTTATTCCGCATTATTATGGTTATTATTATTATTTAATATCAATTTGACATTACATTATTATTTTTATCAATAAATATATTTATCAATTTGACATTACATTATTATTTTTTTTTGCTTCAATTTGACATACATTTTTAATTTTAAATCAAACATTGATTATTAATTCCATTTATTATTATTGATTATTAATTACATTGTACTTTTCTGAATTGAATGTTGTGTGTGCTTGTAAAGGCTTGCATATATGTCTTAGAATAAGTATTTTTTAATTTTTTTAATGTTTTAATATGTTTAGCTGTAAGTACACCTTTAAATAAATAAATAAATTATATTACAGACAAAAATGCTTGGGTTTGAACTGTTCCAATCATTCCAACAGGTGTTCTATATTAAATAAATCATGATTGTATTGACGTTGTAATAACATAATGATTTGTAAATGTTGTTACATTATGCTTTTAATGTTGTGGAGTTTTTTTCGCTCGTTTTTCTCCGCAGCTAAAAAATATGTCCAAAAACGAGTGGTAGGGAAAAAAATGTTTGAACGATTCAAAAGTGTTGTACTATACATCCAATTTGAATAAAGATAAATTGATTTCTGATTTCTTAGGTAGTGAATCCTTTGGCTTTGCGTAGGGATGTAGCTTCGCTATGCATCTTCTATCGCATTTATCACGGGGAGTGTTCTGAGGAATTGTTCCGATTAATTCCAGCTGCTGCATTTCGCCATCGTACATCGTACTAAAATTTCATCCCCATCATCTTGATGCGTGGCTATTCACAACTGTGCGTTTTTGCCGCAATTTTTTACCACGTACGACAAATCTGTGGAATATATTGCCAGCAGTGTTTCCGGACCGAGACGACCCAAAAACCTTTAAAAAAGAGCGTACTCCTTCCTTAAAGGCCGGCATCGCATTTGTGATACTCCTGGTGTTGCAAGTGTCCATGGGCAACGGTGATCACTTACCATCAGGTGAACCGTCTGCTCGTATGCCACCTATAACATAAAAAAAGAATCAATAAAGATATCAATAATATCACTACAACCGGTATGGACCATTGACGGCCTTGGCTTGGTATTGAGGAATTGGTGCCATGTACTGATTTACGAAAAGGAGGACACAATAGTGTTATGGGGGTACGGGGAATCCCTCTAGGAACACCAAGTTTAAACTTTTGCAATAATTACGGGCAATTTACTTTATTATTTAACAGATATACATACAGTAATAAGTTTATTTATATGTTATGGGCCAAGTGATTAATGCGGGCAGTATCCATAATGCCAGGGCAGTATGAAAAATGCCCAACCTTATCGGGCCAAGTGATTAATTACAATCTAAACCACCTATACCTCTAAAACACCTATTTATCACATTGCCCCGTCATCTATACTAATATTATAAAGCTGCAGAGTTTGTTTGTTTGAACGCGCTAATCTCTGGAGCTACCGGTCCGATTTGAATGATTCTTTCAGTGTTGGGTAGTCCATTTATCGAGGAAGGCTATAGGCTATAGTTTTTTTTCAAAATTAGTGATCCGTAATAAAATTGCTATTTTGTAACACAAGGTGTAAAATCGAAAACCCATTTTTGCGTGCGCTGCAAAAACTATTGACAATAGAACAAAATGATGTACTACGGGTTTTTAGATCCCATTAAGACCTACAAAAAAGTCTGCGAGAACATATATCTAGCTATTATGGTTTAATCAC